CTCCCTGTACACCTGGATGATTTTGATTTGCTGGGTTTCCAGTTTGATGGAAAATTTTATTATGATAAGGCAATGCCAATGGGGTGTTCAATTTCTTGTGCTGCATTTGAGACATTCAGCACTTTTATCTATTGATGTGCTGTTAAGAGAACTGGTAATAAAGCTATTGTTCATTACTTAGATGACTTCCCATCAGCAGGTTCCCCTGATTCCTTACAATGCCTTAATACTTTAGAGCAATTTCAAGAATTGATGCAGGAATTGGGTGTGCCTCTGGTCGAGGAGAAAACAGAGGGTCCTCACATGCAATTAACCTTTTTAGGCATTGAGATAGACACTATTGCTGGAATTTCTTATTTGCCCTCTGAGAAATTGATGGCCATGAGGCAGCAAGTTCAAATTATGTTGGATAAACAAAAAACTACCCTGCTTGAGTTCCAATCACTTACAGGCTTATTAAATTTTGCCTGTAGGGTGGTAGTCCCAGGACGAGCATTTTATGCTAGGCTTTACAAGGCCACTGCAGGTCTAGTGGCTCAGCATCACCACATTAGGATCACAAGGGGCATCCAAGAGGATCTTAAGGTTTGGCACTTCTTTTTGGAGTATTATAATGGTATATCTTTTTGGAGGGCTGAAATGCTGCTTCGTGAAGATTTTCAGGTCCATTCGGATGCTGCTGGCACCCATGGCTTTGGAGTTTTCTGGAACGGCCAGTGAGCTGCTGAGGCATGGTCTCCTGCTTGGGTGGAATCTGGTCTTACCAGGGACCTTACTTTTTTTGGAATTGTTCCCAATTGTTGTTGCTGTACACTATGGGGAAGCCAAGTTGCTGATAAGACAGTTTGGTTTTGGTGTGACAACCAGGCGGTCGTGCATGTGGTGAATTTGCAGTCCTCCAAATCTCCTAAGGTGATGAGTTTGGTAAGGGCAATGGTTTTACAATGTTTAAAGTTTAATGTGTTGTTTAGAGCTCAACATGTTCCTGGTTGGCTTAACTCTTTGGCAGACACCCTTTCTCATTTTCAGCTTACCAGGTTCTGGTAGTTGGCACCCCAGGCTACTTTACACCTGCTGGAGGTACCGGTGTTTCTCTGGAACCTTGGAAATTAGAAGTTCGTAGGGTGATGCAGAATTCCATTGCCCCATCAACAAGCAAGTCTTATCAAACAGCCCTAAATTCTTTTAGCCAATTCATGTGTGAGATTGGGGAAGAAATAACATGGCCTATTAATGTGGATTTGGTACTTCTTTTATAGTAGCAGTCAAACAATCGGGACTATCACCTGTCACTATTAGGGGCAGGTTAGCCGCCCTGGCCTTTTTCTCCAGGGCAAATGGTTATTTTGATCCAACTGTTGATTATAGAGTCAAAAGGGCAGTGGAAGGATGGTCCAGAGAGGCTACTATAGCAAAGAACGTTAGAAGGTCAATAAGTGGCCCTGTCCTCACTATGTTATGGTGCTATTCAACCAAGGAATTGGTTTTATTCAGGGCGGTATTTGCTACTGCATTTTTCACTGCCCTGAGAATTAGTGAGATTGTCCCGGGTTCCAGGAATGATACATCAGGCAGGGCATTATTGATTTCGGACATTAATTTAAATGCCCATGATATTCAGATTTGCATTAGGCGGTCTAAGACTGACCAGTTTGGCAAGGGTCAGTCTTTATTCTTGGCCAAGGCCCAACAAGGTCAAATATGCCCAGTAGTGGCAATGGATAACTATTTAAGAATCAGGCCTAAGGTGCCTGGATACCTGTTTCTTCATTTATCTGGCCTGCCTCTAAAACAATTTCAATTCAGGGCAGTGGTAAAAGAAGCAGTAAATAAAGCTGGGCTGCCTAAGGATTCTTTTAATTTACACTCCTTTTGCATAGGAGCTGCGATGGTTGCTGTCACTCATATTTGATATTTGTAGGATTGGCAGATGGAGTTCACGCACTTTTAAATCTTATGTGAGACAATCGGGTAGTGGGACTCTCGATTAGTCATGCTGTCTTTTTTACTTTATTTTAGCTTTCTTCAGCCCAGGCAGTATATGGATCATTGGACATAGCCTGGTGGCTTGGGAAGAGCATTTCCTGAAGGAGCACCACTACAACACTACTTTGGGCCTGGTGAACCTTGGTCGCATGATTTGGTTTGGCAAGAGGGGTATGAAGTGGCCATCTCTTGTGCCTTATATGAAGGAATTGATTCGGTCACGTCCTTGACCCCAGGCAATGGTTGTGCATCTGGGGGAAAATGACCTGGTGCATGTAGCATGTTTACAGCTGGACAAAGAAATTGTTAAGGATTTGGAGGAATTACAAGCTATGCTTCCTTTAGCGAAGATAATATGGACTAAGTTGGTGCCTAGGCCGTCTTGGTCTGGTGCACAAAAGGATTCTGCCATCAATAATGCATGGCAGTGCATTAATCACTTTGTTACTAAACAATTGTTAAAGAGGGGAATGTTTGTTATTCAACATGCTATTAGGCTGGATAAGACACAATTGTACAGGGATGATGGGAAAAACCTTTCCAAGGAAGGGCTGTTATTATATGTTGGTGCTCTTTCTGACC